AAAAAAAAAAAAAAAAAAAAAATTGTAAATTCGTTCGTCGCGTGACGTTTTAAAATATTTATATTCTTATCTTCTCACCGATGTGAAATGACAGTCGGTTGATGACATCCAGCACGAAAAGTTCGTGAATGAATGATCGCGATTTCGATGTCAAATAATTCGATACGGTCCCAAATGAAGGAAATGAAAAATGCAGAGTAACATCAATGAGATCCATCGTTTCAAAGGATTTGATGGATAGAACCGGTAAACGAGTTTGAGCTGAGAACAGAATCACCCGATATATTGACTAAGTTCTTCGCATTATACTCGAATCGATCCAAATATGGATTCAATCAGCCTTCAGATCGAACCTGATAGGTCGATTTTAGTTAGACCTTTTGGTCCAAACAAGACCAGATCCCCTTTCTTTTCTCTGTTCTTGGCCATTGCGATTCCATTACAACGTATGTAACCATCTTACTTCTCAAGTGTATAACAGTCAACCTTCTATCTTTTAATATTGAAATTTTTAATCTTACTTCAAATGAGAAATTTGTACAAAATTGGAACGTTCCGATCGCAGCTTCTGGTCATTGAATTAAGATCATTCGTAATTTTATGTGTTTTTAGTAAGATTGAAGGATTTGAAGGAAACTCAATTATGAATTTATAATCAGATCGTTTATGAAATTTGTTTAATTGATATTTTACTTCAAATATTTTTACTACTGATGTGCGCAACACTTTGTGCACTTGTACAGTGTGAATATGTATTTTAATAATTAATCAACTTTATCATTGAATTGCGTTCAAACTTTCGAATTTTACTAAAAACATACGAGATTGAAAAATTGGAAGTGTTCTTAATTCTAGCTATGGAATATAATTTTAAAAGATTAATTTATAATTTTAAAAACATTACATAAACATACTATATATCGTATAATATAGAAATACGTATTTTAAAATAAAATCTTCAATGTCTGATTATACAGATATGTAACATTCAAATTGTATTATCAACGACGATGTTACGTAGAAGATTAAAAATCTAAATTTACGAAATCGCACAGCCTTCGAGCCTTAATTAAGAAGCGTTAAAATTGATAGATAAAATTGTTATTAACATACGATAATATTACTATCACGTAAAATTGCCTCGATTTATATATTACGTGCTCGCCACCACTCGAAACTTATGATGATCGCGGTGATTTATGGCGAACGAAAAGACCTAGACTCTTACAGATTTAGTTCACAGAATTCGATAACAAATCAATGCAGAACTCGCTGCAGCTTCACTCGAGTCTGTTGCACGAATAAATCGATCCGTCGATAGTGAGACAGAAAGAGAAAGTATAACTGGATATATACCTTTGGAGGTATGTGGTTAAAGCATCGGGGTGGTCCATTCGTGCTCGTCATTGCGGCTGTCGATGACAACCAGTCATTGGCCAGGGAATAATTAAGGTTGCCAGTCGGACGAGCAAAAAAGGAAGACGCGCAAATTGCCAGGATCGACCGGAAGCGCCTAGGATAAACTCGACTCGATGACTCGGAGACAAAATGCACTGTCAAGCAACGATGCCTCGCTAAACGCGCGTCCCATGCTGTTTCTCGCTTCATTTTCATTTCCGACACGTCCACCACCGCGGTGAACGGCCTTTTCGTTCTTATAAATGTATTAGGCATTGCATTAAGAAGAAAGCAATAAGCCCATGAAGAAATAGATACAGTTTAAATTTCCATTCTAGGATGTGCGACGATACTCAATAACATTCATTTCTTTGTATCACTGTTATCAATTTATCTCCAACTAATGAATACGTTCATGATTTGTGATGGAAAAGATTAAGAATTCTGGTTTAGAAAACTAGAATATTATCTTCTTCATTAATCGTTCTCTGATGCATTTGATTCGAGAGTAACCGATCATTAAAAAAATCTTTGCTCCCTGTTAGTTCGTCGTTAATTGACGTTCCGAGTACTGTGCTCTCTCTCACGCGCGAACCGTGTAAATTTCACGTGGCAATAAACGTGTTATTACAAACGATACCGGTCGTTATATCCATATCAAATATGAATTAAAGAGCCACGGTGTCGTGTCGTGTCCATTCCCAACGTTGCTTATCTCTGGTTCCATTAGAGAGGCTTCTCTTGTAACCTCAGCGAACCATACAGAACAAAGTGAAAAGAAAAGGAAAACAGGGAAAGACAGAAAGGTGTGCAAAACGGCGATAGTAACACAAAGAGAGTGTCCTCCTATCGAAAAGCTGGCGAGAGTAATACGGAATGCTTGCAGAACTGGCAAGGATAAATTGTGCTGGAATTTAATTGGCGACCGCGCGTGCCGAACGCGTCTATTCAATTTCGCAGGCCGCGGCGGAACGTCCCTGTGTCTGTTTACTTTCCTCTAACGCACAAACACGCTCGTTCAACGATCTGCTCTTTCCGTGACATTAATGTTGCATTCCGAATAATTTACCCTGGCTGGCTGGATGCACGACAATGTGCATTCGATCGGTATGTACGGATGTCTATTGGAGAGAGAGAGAGAGAGAGAAGCGCGTGAGACTTACGGTTGGCGAGGAAAAGTCGAGGCTACACAATTACCGGCTAATGAAGCGTTTTTAAGGTGAAACGTGTCGTTCTTTCGATTAATCGGAAGATAAAGCCTCTTCTCGCCGCTTTTAGAAGTATTATTGGGTTTATTGAGTGAAGTTAGTTTATCATTGGGTGCACAAGTAGGATAAATTATCGTTGAGGATAACGATAGCTCAACCTTTTACCTTCAATTCTTAACCAATACTGTGAAATAATTTCTCCAAAGCAAATATTGTTGTCGAGCAAGAAAAATTGCTTCACGATCAAAAATGGCTGGTAGCGTGAACCTCGGAATTTAATTAGAAAAATTAGGAAGGAATTAAATTGTTGTATTATTTCGTTTCATTTATTTCAACATGCTGCGTCATCGTACTGAAATAGTAGTTTGATCGCAGTTAGATATGGGCGAGGTTGCTCATCACATGTTACGTCACTCTGCGGACACAGCGTGAAGTGATTTATATGGGCACAAAAAAAAAAAATTTTTTTTTTTAATAAAAGCGCATGCAAAAAAACGAAGGAGGAGAACCAAGCTACAATTTACCGCGATGAAGATAAGAAATT